GCCTTGAAAACTCTATGAAGCAGTTCTACTCTGCACATGTAGGGTCACCATGAGTCAGAATTGACTCGAAGGCAACAAACAACAACAACCCCTTAGACAAAAGGTAAGCATACTATACACACTGTTCTAGATTAGTGCTGTCCAACAGAACCTTCTGAGATGATGGACGTGTTCTATATCTGTGTTGTCCAATACGGCAGCCACTAAGCCATATGTGGCTACTGAACACTTGAAATACGCCGACTGCGACTGAAGAACTGAACTTTTCATTGTATTTAACTTTGATTACTATAAATTTCAATAGCCACATGTAGCTAATAACCACGTTTGTGAGTGCAGTTTTAGACACTGTGTAACAGAATATAGAGTTAGTCCTCATTCCTTTGTATGGCTGCAGGGTACTCCATTGTCTCAGCCACTCACCGATCCCCTACCGAAGGACATGTGAGCTGTTTTCAGTCTTTTGCTATAACTGGTGCTGCAGCAAACAGCCTATTGCATATGTCAATAAATATTTTTGCCAGTATTATCTTTGGGATAGCCTCACAGAAGTGGAATTGCTAGGTCAAAGGGTAAATATTGACTGAAATTATGCTGGACATTACCAGATTCCCTATCCAGAGGTTATATCATTCACATCAGGATTTTCCAAAAGCCACTATAGTCACGTCTTTTTTCTTTTTTTTCCTGAAGAACTTATCCTCTATCCATAAAAGAATTAGAGAACAATCCTGCAGCTTCCTGTCTGGTGTATACCGGGTGAAAGAATAGAGAAAGGAAATGGCTAAGATAACAAAATCCTTAACCCGACACATAAAACCACAAAAACCTGTTGCTGCCGAGTCAATTCCAACTCAGAGCAACCCTACAGGGCAGAGGAGAACTGCCCCATAGGGTTTCCAAGCAGCAGCTGGTGGATTTGAACTGCCAACCTTTTGCTTAGCAGCCAAGCTCTTAACCACGACACGACCAGGGCTCTATAAAACCAGAAGGAAGGGATAAACAACCCATCCTGTCAGAAATCATTCCAGAAACCCTCTAGGCCAGTGGTTCTCAGTCAGGGTGATTCTGGCCCCTAGGGGACATTTTAGCAATGCCTGGAGACATTTTTGAATGTCATGACTGGGGTAGAGGAGATAGGGGGTAAGACAGTGGTACTGGCCATCTAGTGGGTAGCGGACAGGGATGCTGCTCAACATCCTACAATGCACAGGACAGCCCCCCAGGACAAAGAATTCTCCGATCCAAACTGTCAGCAGTGGTGCGGTTGTGAAACCCTGCTCTGGGTGGACACTGCCGTTTAGGAACAGGGACGGATCATGCTGCACGGATTCTGTGGTTGCACCTCAGAGGAGAGTTGAGCAATATCAGGAGAGCCTTAATCAGGATGCATCCACGTGCACACCAGGGGCTCCAACAGATTCCACAGCTGCTCCTCCTGGCAGGATCCTCGTCAGTGCAATGACTGTGTCCATTAATGCTCAGGTGATCAAAAGGATCTGCAAGGGTGAGGTCAGAGCAAAAGACCTCTTTGGAACAAAAGCACATAGGGAATGTTGTTGTTGTTAGGTGCCATTGAGTCGATTTTGACTCAGAGTGCCGTATGTTACAGATAGAACTGACCCATAGGGCTTTCTTGGCTGCCATCTTTACAGGAGCAGATCGCCAGGCCTTTCTCCCATGGAGCTGCTGAATGGATTTCGGTTAGCAGCCGAGCACTTAACCATTGCACTACCAGGGACTAGGCAGCTGGTAAAAATGATGCTCATTCAGAATCCAAGAATAGCCTGAAAGTCCCATCAAAACACATCATCAGATGAGGTCTAATTCTTGCAGTACTACCAGGCAAGGCCTCCTCTCCAACCTGATTTGTGGGGGCCACAGCTGGACAACGAACATGGAAGACCAAAGAAGAATTGACGCCTTGGAATTGTGGTGTTGGTGAAGAATACTGTATGTACCATGAACTGCCAAAAGAACAAACAAATCTGGCTTGAAAGTACAACCAGAAAGCTCCTTAGAAGCAAGGACGGTAAGACTACACCTCACATACTTGGACATGTTATCAGGAGGGCCTAGTCCCTGGAGAAGGACATCATGCTTAGTAAAGTAGAGGGTCAGCACAAAAGAGGAAGACCCTCAACGAGATGGATTGACATAGTGGCTGCCAACGATGGGTTCAACCATAGCAACGATTGTGAGGATGGCACAGGACTGGCAGTGTTTCATTCTGCTGTACGTAAGAGGCGCTATGAGTCGGAATTGACTCAATGGCACCTAACAACAACAACACAGCCCAGTCAAACACCGATTCACATGGCAACAGAGGCAACTGAATGGAATCATCAACAAATCTAAAGGTGTAGGGGCAGAGTCTAGAGTCAGAGTATAAGGAAAACAACCTGTACAGTTTAAAATTCCTTAGAAAGCAAACATACCGCTCTCAGAAAGTCCAAACCAGTCAGGATTTTATCCACAAATCACAGTACTGGTAAACTGTGTTTTTTAAACATTGGCTCTCACTCAGTGTGGCAGGATGCCCATGCTTTGAAAGGCACACGAAAACTGAGCCAAAGGAGGAACTGGCAGATTCACATCCCCCAGCTCACCTCTCCAAACAAGACAAAACCTGCGCATCCTCCCGGACCCAGCGCCACCACACCCAAGACTTACTTTCTTCGGCCCTCTACCCCAGGCAGAGCCTGCAGCAACCTCTTCAGGCTCCCACCAGCCGACTCAACTCTCAAGTGCATGCAAGGATCATGCCCTCCACCTGCGGCCCCAGCTTCTGACTACAATGCCTGATACATAGCAGGCACCGAGGAAGCAAATAATTTGCCATATGGCAGGTACACTGAGGATACTCACTGGACTTTAAAGGCAATGAACCACCTTTCTCAGTGAAGACTGCCCAGCTTCCAACCAATGTCACTGAACAATTTGTGTAGAAATTGTCAAATAGGAACTTAAACTGCTGTGTAAAATCTTTACTGAAAACACAATAAAATGTTTTTTTTAGAGTGTTCAGTCAAGTGTTTCACACAGGAACATCTGTACAACAGTTTACACACAAAAACCCCTATCTAACAAAACAAAACAAAAATATTGCCCAGATTCCAAACACAGAATCTCAGAGAAAGGGTATATAGCTGGACTAGGGCCACAGAGGGGCAAGCCGTGGGGCAGGAGGTTCCTATCCAGTATGGAAAAGATCCTAGTCTGTCAGTATTTCAAAATGCCCATAGCACCAGGGAGAGTCTGAGCTCCAGCCCCATCCCCTTCTAAGGCTGGGCATGAGTTCACAGAACAGCTTCCCTCTGGCCTGAAGCTGCAGTGCCCCCGCTTCACTGCTACCAAAAATTGGGGCTGGGCAAGAGACTAGGGTGATCTACAGCTCTCTTTCACGGACACCCATTCAACAATTTTCTCAAGTTCTCCTCCTGAAAGTGAGTTTTGGGATTGCGTGCCATCCCCCCAAGTCTGCCTTTTTCCATTCTTTGATTAATCTCACTGAACCCACAAGTAAAGCATCTGCTGCATCAAAAGGGTCCTCAGCCCACCCAAAGCACCATAGGCTCCATACCAGCCTAGCTGGACCCCACACCCACTCTCCCAAAGGCAAGGCACTAGCTCACTGTATCCACTAGCACTGTGACCTCTAACTCCACAGTCAGGTATAGAACAACCAACATCAGGAACTCGGGAGAGTCAGTTCGTTCTGGACTTGGCTATTTCTATCAGACACACTACACAGATATTTTAATCTAAAGTCAGATACACAGGTTTCCAGCCATGTATCTTACCATAGCCTCCGCTTTACCTGCCATATTCCTAGCCCAGATAGATAGCCAAAGAGCAAGGCACTGCCAGGCAGCAAGTAAGGTGGCAGCTAACTATGACTCTGGACTAAAGTGTCTGCCACCACCCGTATCTACCCAATCATGTTGCATGCTGCATTCTTCCTCCTGGATTCCCAGGTGCCCAGCACCCTGCTGCAGCGTCATCCTGGCTGGCAGGCAGACAAGAGCTCCGCTCTGCACCCCAGTACCACACCACACTAAAAGTCAAACTTTAGGACCAAAATCCACTGTGACCAGCGAGGGTGACCCAAAGCACAGGGGTATGTGCACTTTAGGAGGCCACTGCAACTGGAAGTTCCTGGGTGGTGCAAATGGTTAACACATTTAGCTGCTTACTGAAAGGCTGACAGTTCAAGTCCACCCAGATGTACCTCAGAAGAAAGGCCTGGCTATCTACTTCTGAAAAATCAGCCATCGAAAACTCTATGGAGCACAGTTCTACTCTAAAGAGTCGGAATCAGCTTGATGGCAACTGGTTACAGCAAACCGGGGCGGCCCCAGCCTATGGAAAAGTCAAACCCCTGCCCTGAGGTCTATGGCAGGAGGGAAAGGGACAGGGCTCTACTTTGCCTTTCATGTATTTATTTGCTTTTTGCAATATAACGCAAGTGAAGGTGACTAGCAATAATAGATTCCTAACGCCCATAGTTGTCTACAAGATCAACGTATTTCTCAAGAACTTTTCTCTAGGAAATGCACTTCTTTCCTATGTGTCTAGTAAGAGGCCCCAGAAAGTAGGATCTAGGGTAGGGTGACAGCCAGGAAAGTTGGCAGTCTGGTTTGGTTTTATCTGAAATTTGGAACTGGAAGTATTTCTGGTCCCTCCCTCAGGGGATATGGATGTTGGGAGTTGGAACCCGGGAGAGGAACTCCGGTTGAGGAGAGAGCGAGGGAGGAGCAGATGCCGGGCACAATTCGTATTCCAGGGGACCGAGGCTCTTCCCATTCTCCTCTGCAACAAAGAATGACTGCGGGGTCGGGAATCCGAAGGGAGACACGCAGAGTACAGCGAGTCTGGGATCCCGGGTCCACCTGGCCCGTGCTTAGGGTAGGGCGCAGAAGAGGTAGTGGGGCCCGGCCCGTGCTCCCAAGCAGGCCAGTTTCCCCCCGTCCGTCCGGGTGCCGAGGCGGCCCGCTCACCTCTCGCGCCGAGCGGAGCTGCTGGCGCAGCGCGTCCTTACAGCCATAGGGACCGCCGGCGACGGCGCCGGCGCCGCGCGACTGGAAGTGCGCCTCGACGCGGGTGGCGCCGCGATAGGCGCCCTTGTAGAAGGCAGGCCACCCGAGCTCGAGCAGCGGCGGCTCTAGGTCCGACTGCTCGGGGAAGTAGGTGCCGGACGAGCAGTCGTGGGACGAGCCGAAAGAGTCCTCGGCCCAGGTCGCCGCGCCCTCCTCGCCTGGCCGCTCGGCCGCGCGCAGGATGGCGCGCACCTCGTCCGGGTTCAGGAAGCGGCCCAGGCGCTCGCGCCGTAGGAAGGACGCGAATGCGTCGGGGCCGCCTGTCACCAGCTCCTCGAGCGCCAGGCGCCGCGCCTCGCTGTACAGCTCCGCTGGGTTGGGCGGCCCGCACGGCGACAAGCAGAGGTCGGGTAGCTCGTCCAGGCCGTCGAACGGCATAGCCATAGTTTCAACCTGAAAGGACCACGTTCGTGTAAGTGCAGGCGTGCAGGCCTGCCTTTATGGGAACCTTTGAATCAAATCGGCCCGCGCCATTGGCCGGGCCGCCGCATCCCGCTTTGTAATTGGCTGTGATCCTGGCCCGCCCCGCCCCTTACCCAGCCGCGGAATCGGGCCCGAGCACGCCCCGTCACTGTCCCGCCCCCTGGCATTCTATTGGCTACCCCAAGGAACCGGCCCTCCCCCCGCGCCTCGGCATTGGCTGCCAGTTGCGGCCAACACTAAGCTCTAGCTGCAGTGGTTGCTTCGCGGGATTTAAATTTAGCTACTGTGTCAGCTCCCTGAGGGGATCGGAACTCAGCCTTACCCGCTAGACAGAGGGGCGTGGCTGGGCCTGAGCGGCCGAGCGGCCGCTGGTGGCAGCGCGGGGCGCGGAACCCGAACTGAGGCCCGAGAGTTCGGCCTCGACATTCTTGGCGCGCCCCCTGCCGGCCCACCCCACAGCTCGTTTCTACCTGGCCGGGAGGAGTCAGGCTTAGACTAAGAGGAGGAGAGGATGATTCCTGCCTCCTGCTCCCGGGCACGCTGACCGCACTTCTCCTAGGATCTCAGAGCTTGGTGTGACCAGCCATATCGTCTTTATGCCCTGGATTTAATTATCAATTTATTCATTAAAAAATACCGGTCCATCGTAATGACTGCTCCTTTGATTACACCTTCAAGTAGCTTGCTTTTCTCCAACTTCATCGTTTTGCGTGGCAAATCACCCACCCTGGTTGGTTAAACTCAACTCTCCACTTACTTTCCATCTGCACCCGGACAGCCATACGTGGCAGGAGAAAAATGCACAACCATGCTTGCCGGTCCCACTCTAAAATCATGATTTCATGATCTCACGTGGTCCTTTAAGGCTGCCTGCTAGCCTGAGATTTCCCTCTTCGTTCACTCTACCTTTTCCTCTCTCCTTCTCACTCTCAGATGAGAACTTGCTTCCTATTTCACAGAGAAAATAGAAGCAATCAGAAGAGAACGTCCACATGCTCCCCCACATCTACCTGCCTGTCTGTATCTCTGCCCACATAATTATTCTGCTTTCTCTCCTGTTACTATGATGAACTCTCCGTGGGCCTGTCCGAGGCCAACACTTCCATCTGGGCACTAGCTCCCAGTGTCCACTACTAACCCATCTCTCTCCAGCAATTCTCCCCTGTCTTCCTGGATCATCATTTTCCCATCTTTATTGGTTCATTCCTATCAGCATATAAACGTGCTGAAGTATTTTTCATCTTAAAACAATCTTCTGTTGATTCTATATCCCTCTAGAGCTACCTCATCATTTCTCTGCATAAAGCCTTGAAAGAGTTGTCTATACTTGCTGTCTCCAGTTCTCCAATCCTCACTTGAACCTTCAATCAGTCTATGTCCGTATTTGTTGTTGTTAGTTTCTGTCCCTACCAATCTATATCAAAACCTCTTGTCAAGGTCAACAATGAGCTTCACATTGCTAAATCCAATAGTCAATGTACACACCTCATCTTTATCTAAATGAGACAGGATATGTAAAACTGGAAAGTGCTTCATAAACGTGAGAGGTTATTATTATTTAGGAGTCAATAACCCTTACAATGAATGAATGCCATCTGCTGCTAAGGCATGTCTTCCCATTCTCTCCTCATCCCCAACCTGGTTGTGAATGTTTTTAAGCCCACATGTGGGGCCTTCTGTGTGTCCCTGCTCTGGAACCCAGCATCCAGAAGAGTGGAAGAGAGCACTTTTTCATCCTCTTTTGAGACACCAATGAACTTCTGCATATGACAAGGACAAGGTCTGTGGTCGGGGGTGTGCAACTACGTAGCTTGTCAATGCCTCTATTGCCTGTGATAAAAAATGAAAATAACCAGGGTCTTACTTGCTGAACTGTTTTAATAAGTTGAAGAATTATATAGTGTTTTACCTCCCCAGTATAAGTTATATGATGAGGACTAGGGTGGGACAGAGGGGAAGGGGACAGGACAAGTTAGTACACTCCAAGAAGGGAACAAGGGAGAGGGGCAACCCTGTTATCCATAAATATGTTACTGGAGAAACCTTTGAAATGTGGGAGATCTAGTTGCATCACTAAACAGAAGATTTCAAAAGGCAGCTCAAGAAGACAAAGCACTATAATGAAATGTGCAAAGACCTGGAGTTAGAAAACCAAAACGGAAGAACCACTTGGCATTTCTCAAGCTGAAACAACTGAAGAAAAAATTCAAGCCTCAAGTTGCAATATTGAAGGATTCTATGGGCAAAATATTGAACGATGCAGGAAGCATCAAAAGAAGATGAAGGAATATAGTCACTGTACCAAAAAGAACTGGTCGACTTTCAACCACTTCAGGAGGTAGCATATGATCAAGAATGGATGGTATAGAAGGAAGAAGTCCAAGCTGCACTGAAGGTATTGGCGTAAAACAAGGCTGCAGGAATTGACGCAATACCAATTGAGATGTTTCAACAAACGGATGTCGTGCTGGAGGTGCTCATTTGTCTATGCCAAGGAATGTGGAAGACAGCTACCTGGCCAACTGACTGGAAGAGTTCCATATTTGTGCCCATTCCAAAGAAAGGTGATCAAACAGAATGAGGAAATTATCGAAAAATATCTCTAATATCACACACAAGTAAAATTCTGTGGAAGATAATTCAAAAGTGGTTGCAGCAGTACATCAACAGGGAACTGCCAGAAATTCAAGCCAGATTCAGAAGAGTACAAGGAACAGGAATATCATTGCTGATGTCAGATGGATCTTGGCTGAAAGCAGAGAATACCAGAAGGATGTTTACCTGTGTTTTATTGACTATGCAAAGGCATTCGACCTGTGTGGATCATAACAAATCATGGATAACACTGCAAAGAATGGGAGTTCCAGAACACTTAATTGTGCTCATAAGGAACCTGTACATAGACCAAGAAGCCAGTCGTTCCAACAGAACAAGGGGATACCGCGTAGTTTAAAATCAGGAAAGGTGTGCATCAGGGTTGTATCCTTTCACCATATTTATCCAATCTGTATGCTGAGCAAATAATTTAAGAAGCCGGACAATATATGAAGAATATGGCATCAGGATTGGAGGAAGACTCATTAACAATCTGGGATATGCAAATGACACAACTTTGCTTGCTGAAAGGGAAGACGACTTCAAGCACTTACTGATGAAGATCAAAGATTACAGCCTTCAGTATGCATTACACCTCAACATAAAGAAAACAAAAATCCTCACAACTGGACCAATAAGCAACATCGTGATAAACGCAGAAAAGATTGAAGTTATCAAGGACCCTCATTTTACCTGGATCCATAATCAATGCCCATGGGAGCAGCAGTCAATAAATCAAACAATTTGCATTGGGCAAATCTGCTGCAAAAGACCTCTTTAAAGTGTTAAAAAACAAACATGTCACCTCGAGGACTAAGGTGTGACTGATCCAAACCATGGAATTTTCAATCGCCTCATACGCATGGGAAAGCTGGACAATGAATAAGGAAGACTGAAGAATTGATGCCTTCAAATTACAGTGTTGGCGAAGAATACTGAATATACCACGGACTGCCAGAAGAACAAACAAGTCTGTCTTGGAAGAAGTACAGCCAGAGTGCTCCTTAGAAGCAAAGATGGCAAGACTTCATCTTAAGTACTTTGGACACGTTATCAGGAGGCACCAGTCCCTGGAGAAGGACATGTTTGGTAAAGTATAGGGTCAGCGAAGGAGAGGAAGAACTTCAACAGATGGATTGACACAGTGGCTGCAATGATGCCCTCAAGCACAACGATTATGAGAATGGTGCAGGACTGGGCAGTGTTTTGTTCTGTTGTACATAGGGTCACTATGAGTTGGAACTGACTTGATGGCACCTAACAACATATATAAAACTGGAGCCCTGGTGGCACAGTGGTTAAGAGCTCGACTGCTAACCAAAAAAAGTCGGCAGTTCGAATCCGCCAGCCGCTCCATGGAAACCCTATGGGGCAGTTCTACTCTGTCCTATAGGGTCACTATGAGTCAGAATAGACTTGACGGCAACAGTTTCGGTATATGTAAAACCCAACCAGTTACCATCCAGTCAACTCCAACTCATGGCAATCCCATGTGTGTCAGAGTAGAATTGTGCTCCACTGGGTTTTGAATGGCTGATTTTTCAGAAGTAGGTCACCAGGCCTTTCTTTTGAGGTATCTCGTGGTGGAGTGAAACCGCCAGCATTTTGGTTAGCAGCCGAGCACACGCATTGACTGTTTTCATCACCCAGGGTGTGTGTGTGTCTCTCTCTCTCTTTCTATATATATATATATAGTTGCTGTCCCTACTACTCTATATCAAAACCTCTTGTCAAGGTCAACAGTGAGCTCCACATTGCTAAATCCAATAGTCAATGTACACACCTCATCTTCTTTATCTAAATGAGATAGGATATGTAAAACTGGAAAGTGCTTCATAAACGTGAGAGGTTATTATTATTTAGGAGTCAATAAACCTTTGCAATGAATGAATGCCAGCTGCTGCTAAGGCATGTCTTCCCATTCTCTCCTCATCCCCAACCTGGTTGTGAATGTTTTTAAGCCCACTTACATATATGTTTTTGTTGGGTGCCATCCAGTCAATTTTTGACTCATAGCGACCCCATGTGACAGAGTAGACCTGCCCCACAGGGTTTTCGAGGCTGTAATCTTTATGGGAGCAGATTGCCAGGTCTTTCTCCTGAAACGCTGCTGGGTGGGTTCGAACCACCAACCTTTTGGTTAGCAGCCAAGCACTTAACTGTTGTGCTACCAGGCAGGGCTCCTTATATGTGTGTGTGTGTGTGTGTGTGTGTGTATACATATATATGTATGTATGTATGTTGTCTTAGTTATCTAGTGCTGCTATAACAAAATACCACAGGTGGATGACTTTAACAAACAAATTTATTTTCTCACAGCTTAAGAGGCTAGAAGTCTGAATTCAGGGTACTGGTTCTAGGGGAAGGCTTTCTCTCTCTATTGGCTCTGGGGGAAGCTCCTTGTCACTTCAACTTGTTTCCTGGTTCCTTGGGGATCTCCATGTGGTTTGGCATCAATCTTCCCCCATCTCTGCTTCCTAGCTTGCTTGTTCAATCTCCTTTATATCTCAAAAGACATTAACTCAAGACACACCCTACACTAATCCTGCCTCACAGGGCTTCAAACCGGTTCATTCCAGTTGGCACCCTGCTGAGAATTTGCATTTCCATCCCAGATACACTGAATCTAAATCTACAGTTTAAGGAGATCCCCAGGTGATTCCTATGTATGATAAATTTTGAGAACCACTGCTATACTAGTGGTTCTTAGAATTGGTCCCTAATCAGCGGCATTAGCATCACCTGGAAACTTACTACAAATGCAAATTCTCAGCAGGGGTTCGAACTGGAAGAACCAGCTTCGGAGCCCTGCTGCCTCATGAACATAACAAAGACAACCCATTCCCAAATGGGATTATAACCACAGGTATAGAGGTTAGGATTTGCAACCCATATTTTGGGGGGGACACACTTCAATCCATAACATATGTATACTATTATATACATGTTAATTTCAAAAGTAACATTTGACAGAGTGAAGGTTATTTCAGCCACTTACCTTTTCCTGAATTCATCTGGTTTCACCATGTCCCAGTCTAGCAAGACATCTGTTCCATGTCTAAGCCCCAGAGCTCCCTCTGTTCCAGGGGTCTCCTGGAAGGTCCCTCAGGGGTGGGGACAGGAACCTGGAGCCCTCACCCACCCTCTGTCCCAGGCACCACGTCTATGTGACTTCAAGCCAGCACAGTTGGAGTGAGCTCACAGCAGTGACCACAGCCACACTAGCAGGTGTTATTAAAAGGAATTTAATAATCTTAATTAAAAATTCTTAACAGCGAATTCCATCACAGGCCTTGGCAGCTGGAAGCAACTGCGGGACAAGCCCGTTTGGGACGTGGTTGAGACGCGGTCTTGCACACGAGGCCCACCACTGCCGCATGGCGAGGAGCTACCTGGAAGTTACTTCAATACAATATCAAAGATCCGTGAGGATTTTTTTAAAAAAAACTTTTAAATATATTAGACTCTTTTGATTGCCATTTTTACACAAAGCTGCTGATACAGTATACAGAGTTTTAATTTTTTTTCACATAAAATACATTTCTGTTAAGTGTTCTCTGTACATCAGTGGCTTCTGGTCTGGTGAATTATTGCGGAGGGCTGGGGGTCTGCAGACTTTTCCTGGGTGTGCAGAGCCAGGCCCCCCGCCATGGCACTTGCAATGGTCATGGGAAGCAGGCCCTCTGGCCAACAGGAGACTGTGGTCGAGGAGAGGGCTTCAGCTTCTGTCAAGGGGGCGTCATGTCTGTGGAGTCATCACTGACCAGTTTCCCTTTGCTCTTATGTGCCCTGGGGGAGGGGAGGCCGTCCCCAGGCTACATGTAGCAAGAATTAAATACAATCCATCGGGGCAACTTGTAAAGAATGCCTTTCTGGAAAGTACCCCAGTATCTGCTCTGGGAGGGCAGGTAGCAGAGAGAGAGCTCAAGATTAAAAGGTGTCTGACACCAGTAACCAAAACGATCTCATTATTACAAAGCCAGCAAACTGTGGTGGGCAGAAGAGCAGACACACCCTTGTTAACTTTTCTAAGTCCCTTGAAACTGATGGAACAGTGCACTCAGTTCTAACAGTACTGCGTATCTGATGGAGAATTACATCCAGAGCCTTCAGTACACCTGGGCCCAGGGTTTGGTTCTCTGAAATACTGGCCAGAAACTCACAATCTGGCGACAACCACCAATTCTCAATTGTCTGGGGCATAGGGTGGGAGCAGTGTGGCACCTGCTTTGGAAATGGCCACCAGACCTGGGGCTCAGCAGAAGCTGGGCATCTGGTCAACCTTGCAAGCCTTCACCTAGCTCCTTAATCCACACCTGCCAGGGAGAGAGGCAGACTCAAGAGGAAAGACTTCACGTTAAAAGGTGAACCTCTCTATTCCTCTCGGAGGTTGGTGGGGAGAAGAGGCTAAGTAATGACTAATTAAAATAAGCAAGAGACAATGACTTTAAGAACCTGGATGTATTTGGCAGCAAATTCTAGCCTCCTTATTCATCCAACATCACCTCAAACTCCTATTAGATGGTCCACCAGAGATGCTGGCCTGAAGGCAGTTATCCCTGAAAGTTCCAGACGGACTTGGGATGGTATCTGCCTGGAACCAAGATCCAGCATCTGCACTTAGTGATAAATGTTATCCAGGGGCATCCTCGACAGCTGTTTCATACTCTAAGGATTGGAGGAACTGGAAGCAAAAGGATGCTGGAGCAGGATGCAGTCACTGCCCCAGGGAAACTGATGGGGCTGCTGATGCCGAGGTCCTCAAGGGATGACACTGTGAAGAACAGTTCTCCTCACTCTGCCTGTTCATCCTTTAAGCTCAGAACCTAACATAGTGCCTGGCAGGTTGCAGCCACTCAAGAAATTACAGGAGTGAATAAATGAATGATCCAGGCCCAAGGTTATTCCCCAGCTTGTCCCTCAATGCACAAGAGACTCACGGGGAAAGCTCCCCAAGTACTTGAAGCCCTAAAAGGGATGGTTTATCCCTGGGTGAAAACAGACTGATGCCCAGAGTCACCTTTGCCTGAAGCTGGCTTCTGGTGTGGAACAGCTGGGATTCCCAGCCTTCTGGGCGGGAGAAGAATGACCCAGGAGACAGGAAGCAAGGGGGAGGAGGAATGGCCATGGGGCTCAGGGAGGGCAATAAATGCCCTCAGTCTCTGGCACCTGAGCAAACCGGTCGGAAAACCTGCATAACTCTCTCCAGAGGAGCTTGTGGCTTCCCTCGACACTCCCCACCTTGCATCTCAAGTCGGCTCAAGAGCAATTCCAGTGTCGGTCTGAGCTGAATACTGTTTTGAAGCCAAAGGTATGTCTGTTTTGGATCATCCCTGCCCTGCTCCAGCCATAGGCTGAAATGATGGAGAGCCCGCCCCAGAACACAGGGACATGAGAGGTGACACGCACACCTGTTTGTGGTCTCCTGAGCCGCCCCTCTGCCCTAGACTGGGTCTGGCCTGGAGTTGGGGTGGGGGTGGGATCCAAACCAGCCCAGGCCCCAAGGGTCTGGTGCTGTGACCCTCAGTGCGTTCAGCGGCCACCAGGGGCGCAGTGACTCCCCAGAGCCCTCTGCTCTCCAGCCCAGCTGCCCTGCTCCTAGTAAAGTATCAGCTAGGTCCCTTGGGGTCCAGCTTCCTCTCTGGGATATGGGGGCCATGGAGACCATAGTGGAGACTGGGACCGGAAGACAGCAGAGCCTAGTACGAGGGTATGGCACAGGAGGGCTTTTCCAGCCCCCCGCCCCAGGTGCCCCTCAGGAAGAATTTTTCATAGGCTCAGAAAGACAAAGGTTAAAGGAACCCAGATTTGTTCCCCAAACCCCAGCATCTGGACCTGGGTAGGGGGGCTCTAAGGAGGTAGTTTTAGGACAAATAAAAGGCGCACAGAGCAGGGAACAAACCTGCAGCGTGTAGGTTACTCCAAGTGGTTTTGGCTGAACCTGGGGACTGCGCCTAACTCATGAGCAACAAATCCCAAATGAGATGATGAGAGATTGCAGTCGAGAGGTGGAGGGTGGCCTGCCCCTGTGGTCCTCCCTCTCCAGCATCAGAAAGACTGGGGCCACAAAATTGTGGGGCTGGGGTGAGACCCACCTCCAGTCCCAGCACTAAATGCAGTGCAGGTGTTCACCATGGGCACCTTGGATCTGGGGCCTTGGGGCATAATCACTCTAGTGGGAACAGGCTGGGATCCCCTGGGCCAGGCAGGAACTCCCAAGGGCCAGGTGGCAAATTTGCCTCCCCCAGCATTCTGGAAAAGGCAAAGCTGGGCCTAGGGTCCTGAGTATGCACCCTACATACACGAATGATGTATAAGGCAGTAGGAGCGGGGGCCCCAGCTACCTGTAATCTGATGGCTCAGTCTGAGGAGTGCTGGCCTGAAAGTCTGAATATTCACAAGGATCGGCCAGAGTGCTGGGTTCTGTCACGGTTACCAGAGAGGTTTTCAGAAATTAACATGAACTCAGCCCTCTCCCTGGAAAAGTCCTTCCGACAGAAACTCTTCACTGGGCTTCATTTTTCCAACGACAACCAGTAACACATATGGCCACCCTATTATCCACGACAGAGAGCACATTCAGTTCATTCTCCCCTGGGGCTTCACCGCCGGAAAGAACTGGTTTATCAAACGCACCTGTGGAAACCCTGACTTTGCCTCCCTTTTGATACTTCCATCCAAGAGCAAACTGTGATTTGGATTATTCCAGGAATGAGAGAGCCTGGTTTTCCACCTCGGCCCCTGAGTGGTCACACAGCTGGTTCCTGGCATGGGCAGGAGGACTTACTCAGCAGGGCTGTGGGGAGCAGGTCCACACCCACCTTATCTAGCCATGTGGATTCGTGGCTCCCTCTGAACAGAGAGAGGACTTCTGGCCCTGCCAGGTGTGGGTGGTGGCCCAGACAGTGGATGACTCTGAGTAGGACTGTGGGTCTCAGCTTAGCAGCTTAGCAGGGTATCAGGGTCCCTCCCCTGCTGTAGCCACATTGGCGGTGGTGACTGAACTCTTGAGTCTTAACCTCAATCCTCTTGAGAATAGCCCCTAAATTCACTCAGCCCTGCCTGCTTCCCATGAGCCCAGGAGCATCATTCCTGCACAAGTTGATTGAGTGTGTGAGTGTGTGTGTGTTGATAAGTGACATGCAAGTACTGGTCCAGAGAAGCCTTTACCAAGAACAGAACTGTCATCCCAAGCCTGTCCTCCCAAAATCTGAGAGCAGGGTGAGTCGGGGTCCACATATGGGCCTTGTGTCAGACAGCAGACAACACAGCAGGAAGCAGACCATGGGGAGTGGCGATGCTATGGGCAGCTGGGTGAGAGGTGGGGTCAGCGCTCCTCTGGACAGCAGAGCCCACCTCCCGCCAGCTGCCCTTGGGTGCCTCCCCAAGCCAGGGCTGCTGGGCTAGCCTGGATCCCAGGGAGCGCTGCTGGGCTGGCCTGGATCCCAGGGAGCCCTGCCAGGCATATCTCTCCTCCATCACACAGAGACTAGGAGATGCGGCAGCAGCCATGGACCTTCTCCTCCATCTCCTCCATGGGGGCTTTGAACTTCAAGAGCGGGGGATCCCCGCTGGTGACAGTGTAGTACACCGAGGTCCCATTGGCGCTGTACGGGGAAGTTCTGCCTCCGATCAAGGGGGCCTTGCCTTCACTGCTGCCCTCACCCGTCCTGGCCATGCTGCTGCCCAGGTGGGTGCTGAGGAAGGGGTGGCTGAGCAGCTTGGCTGCAGCTCGCTGCCGCTTCAGCTCCAGAAGCGTCTGGGGGCTCTGCTCCTTGTAGCCGCTCCAAGGTGGGGTGGCATCAGCCATGCCAGGGTTGCCATAGGCCACACTGTAGTCGGGCACCTCATGTACCTTCCAGACATCCCCGTTGGACAGTGCATACTGGTAGGTGCTGACCGGAGCCCGGAGGCCATTCTCAACAGGCATGTCCAGTTCACCCCGTGGGATCTTGGTAGAAAATTCGGAGAGCAGCACAGGCTTCTCCAGCCTGGGGTTCTGAGAGTGAGAAGGACAACATTACCAGCTGGCTGGAGGATCTAAACCCACTACCCACCTGCACCTGTGCTGAGGGCATTATAGCTTGGACCTGTCCCCATCCATTTTCCCTTGCTCGGTAACATAAAAAAGAAAAAAAAAAATTGCCACCGAGTCAACTCCAATTGATGGTGACCCTGTGTGTATCAGAGTAGAACTGTGCTCCATAGGGTTTTCAATAACTGATTTTTCAGAAGTAGATCACCAGGGCTTTCTTCCGAGGTGCCTCTGGTGGACTCAAACCACCAACTTTTCGGTTAGCAGCTGAGCGTGTTAATCGTTTGAACCAACAGACATATATATATATACGTATATATGCACACACATATATATACATATATATATTTGCTGTGAGCTACATATTAGTGTGCTTTGACTATTTTTTTCTGTTGGGTGGTTGGTCTTTTTTTAGTTGGTTTATATATATATTTATATAGGATATAAACATATAAAATAATATTCAACTTCACTAATAATGACATAAAAATTAAAACAACAAAATATCATTTTTACCTATCACACTGGCAAATATAAAAAAAGTTTATTATCCAGTATTGGCAAAGGTGGAGTGTGAAAAGCCATAACCTCTTTGGAGGACAATTTAGCATTACGCATTAATGTTAAAAGAGAAAGAACTAAAGAAGAATGTACACTTTGTGTAGGCAACTCCATTTCTAGGACTCTGGTCCGCAGATATACTCGCTCATGGGAGGAAAGCCTGAAAGGAAGCTATGTTTCGTCTTTAGCCAAGTGGTAAACTATGGCAAGCGCTGGTGTTGGAATGCTCTGTAGCTGGTTAAAAAAAAAAAAAAAAAAAAAATCTGTATGTGCTGACATGGAAAGAACCCCAAGAAGTATATAATTAGGTTAAAATATGGTAAGGTGAGGGCCATTTTCCATAGTAAGCTTCCATTTGTGTGTGTGTGTGTGTGTGTGTGTGTGTGTATATGTGTGTGTGTGTGTGTGTGTGTGTACGTGTGTGTGCACACGTGCATGCATGTGCCTGTGTGTTTATTTTTTTATGGCTCCCTCTGAACTATGCAGGCAGACTGATGCCATGTGGGGGACAGATTCTTTATTTTTTATTTTTTCCCCATACAAAAATTTATACATACATTGCTACCTGACCCTAGTTGTTCTCCCCATACTGTGACAGCACACTCTTCCTTTCCACCCCTGATTCCCCATGTCCATTCACCCAGCTCCTAACCCTCTCTGCCTTCCCATCCCACCTCCGGACAGAAGCTGCCTGTTTAGTCTTTTGTATCTACTTGAGCTAAGAGTGGGGGACAGATTCTTGGTGGTCTAAGTTGGCACATCTTAAACTTTAATACAAGTCACGTGGGGATCTTGTTAAAAGGCATGTTCTGATTCAGTGGGTCTGGGTTGGGGCCAGAGATTCAGCATTTTAAAAAAGTTCTGGCCAATGCTTTGAGTAGCTGGGATCTAAGACAGGTTCTCAGCCTTGGCTGCACACTGGGATCATCTGGGAAGTTAAAAATACATATATATGATGCCTGGGTTTCAACCCACAATTCTGATTTAATCAGCTTAGATTGCAACCTAGATATCAGAATTAAAACAAAACACCTACTCTGTTGATTTTATTATGCAGTTAAGTTTAAGAACAACTGGTTGAAGTGACTGGGCCTATCCTATCCTGCTGTGCCTAGGACCAGGGAGTTCTCTCTGCCAAAAAGCTGTACCAAAGCCAGCTCTGGGGGCTTACGAAGCCTTAGCAGAAATCTGACCTGGGGAGCCGGCTGAGCAACACACCCTTAAATAAGTGGTTCTCAAGTTCTTGTGTGCATCAGAATCACCTGGAGGACTTGTTAAAACACACACTGCTGGACTCCAGCCCTGGGGTTTCAGATTCAGAAGGTCTGGGGTGGGGCCTGAGAATGTGCATTTCTAACAAGTGCCCAGGTGATGCTGCTGCTGCTGGTCCAGGGACCACACTTTGAGAATCCCTACCTTAGAGACTATCACATTGCTGCAGTCACCTAAAGCCTTGACAGGGCTAGGGAAGGAAAAGGAACAAGCTTTGGGCTTTGCAGCTGTGCCCTTCAATCTTGTTCCCTCCAGGGCTGGGGCCGGAATCTGGGGCCCCGCACCTGACAGGTGCCTTAGGACTGGACTGGGTAACTGGGGTGAAGGACAGCCTGCTTCTGGCTATGCCACCTCTGTACCCTCTCTTCTCCTCCCCAGGCCTGAAATCCCAACTTCAAAGGCAAAGTAACCCATCTGCTTACCCTCACCAAACCCCAAACAAACAGCAGCCTACTGAGGAGGCCCTAGAAATTAATAAACATCAGGTCTAACTGAGGGTGGCTTCCAGTACCTGTACCCCTCAACCCCACTCACTACAGGGTTTACGATTTATGAGACTCCACATCAAGGGGCACTTCTAGGGGAGTCCTGGGGCCTGAGATCTGAATGAACACAAGGACAAAGTACGAGCGACGAAGGGGTGTTCTCATGAGGATTTCTTTAGAATCTCTGTCTCTCCTACAAATCAATAAGGAAAAGATAAAGAACCTGACAAAAAATGAGCAAAAGATGAACAGATGTTGCACAAAAGAGCAATGGCCAATAAGCACCTGAAAATGTGTTCAACACCATCCATCATCAGGGAAACACAAGTTTAAAATGTGAACTACCACAACAACCCCACCAGGATGGCTCAAATTAAAAGGATTGACTATACCAACGGTTAGCAAGAAACTCCCATACCTGCTGACGGGAGGACAGATTGGTACAATCACTTTGGGAAATTGGCTGGCTGTACCTACTAAAGCTAAACATATGCCTACCCCAGGACCTACACTGCATTCCAGAGTACATACTCAACAGAAAATAGTGCTTACATCCACAAAAAAATGTACAAGAATTTCCATAGCAGCTGTATCCATAATAGCCCAAAACTGGGAACAACCCAATTATCCATCAATAGAAAAATGGATACCTAAGTTGTGGTCTATTCCAACAAAAGAATTCTGCAGAGCAAATGAAAAAGAATGAGCTACTACTACCTGCTACAGCTTGGATGAATCTCACAGATATAAAATAACAGACCCAAGGGACTATGTGCTGGCACATACACAGTTTAAGAACTGACAAAATTAATCTTTAGTGCTCCAAGTCAAAACAGAGGTGACCGCTGGGCTGTGGGTGGGGAGGGCCTAACTCGGAGGGGAAACGAGAGAGCCTTCTAGGGTGATGGAAATGTTGTATACATTCATCTGGATGGTGGTTGCATGGGTGTGCACTTTTGTAAAAATTCATTTAAGAGTTGTGTACTTTATTGCACATAAATTACACCCCAATCACAAAGAAAAAAATAAAGCATAGCTGGAAGGTGTCTAAAATGCTGTTTGATTTTGATTTACCCTCCTTTTCTCACCAATCCCCAAGTTTAGGGACTATGCAGAACAGAGCCTCTGTGTGTGCCATCTCTATCCCCAGCCAGCAGCTTTGATGGGGATTCCCTTTGTCAGCTGCCTTCACTACTGCTGGTGAGACAAGCCTGCATGTGACTGAGAAGAAAGCAGGGTCCCACTGAGACATGTCGCCACTCTGGGCAGCTAATCATTTTGCATTCCACCAAAGCAACACTCTCTAAAAATGTGTTCAGCTGCTCACTGTGTAGTAGAAGAGTCAAAAAGCCAGGCTGCTACTGGTAGTCAGCCTATTCCCACTTGTCTCCAGCAATTCCGCTCTGGCCCCAAACTTGCTCATCCCACTCAGCAAGACAACACCATACGTGGACCTGAGTGGATCCGTACTGGGTTGAATAGTGTCCCCCAAAATTCAGGTCTACCTGGAACCTCAGAAAGTGACTTCATTTGGAAATAAGGCTATGCAGATGTAATTAACTGAGTTAAGGTGAGGTCAAACTGAGGGGGAGTGGGCCCTAATCCAATGACTGGTATCCTTATAAGAAGAAGCCATGTGAAGACGAAGGCAGAGATTGAAGTTATGCCGCCACAACCCAAGCATATGGGGCCATCAGAAGCTAGAAGAGAGGCATGGGACAGGTTCTGATTCAGAGCCCCCAGGAGGAACTAACCCTGCTGACTCCTCGATTTTGGATTTCTGGCCTCCAGAAGTATGAGAGAATATATTTCTATTGTTTTATGCTACCAGGTTAGTGGTTATTTGTCACAGCAGCCCCAGGAAACTAACATAGCATCCTCTCGGGAGAGCAGTTTAAAGCCCAGGCTGCTACTGGAGCAGGCTTCTTACAGGTCCTACCAGCACCCTACTTAGTTTTTCAAAAAATTTCTTCCAACTAAACGTATTCTGGTAAACACAATTCTTGACATCTTGTTATATTTCCAGGGGAAAAAAACAAAACAAAAAGAAACATTTTGGTGTCCTTTGATCTCGGGCAGCTGCCTTACTGATCCTCCTCTTCTGGGAAGCCTAAACTGGATCTGCTGGAGCCCAGGCAGGGACACGGTGGTCACCTGCTTGCTCCCTGTTAACTATAGAGACCCTCCTGTGTGCCAGAGCCCTCAGCTCTGACTCTAAAAACGCTTTGAGGGGTGGGACACATAGGATCACCTCACTAACTATAGTAGTCACTGCCCTCAGGCTGGTTCCAGGTGGTTTAGGGCACTGCCCAGCTAATCTCCCTCTGAAGGCTCTGAGATGAAGCGCCAAGGCCAGGTTGGGACCCTGTCTTCCTTCAAAGGCAGCGGCTGACACTGGGGCAGGGAATGAGGCCACTCACAGGGTCCTTGTTCTCCTGGTCTGTCCTGGTCTCCCTGATGTCCCCGTTGTACATGGAGGTTCGATCCTCTGATGCACTCCGCTGCTGCCACAGTATGGCCTCTCCCTCGTACTCCTTCCTGTACAGGTTGGTCCTGTCTGACAGGCTGGCTCGACGTACCACCTTCCTGAGGGGACAGAGGGGATGCTGGGTGGCTGTGCCCAGAAACCACAGGCAGAGCAAGCATGGGAAGCCCTGGCTGCTCTGCCCCCTGACTCACCCACGGCTGCCCGCGCTGGATGTCCTCCGGCTCAAGGATGACTTGTGCCTCAGCTGTGACTTCATGATCACGTCATGCTTGTGTTTCAGCTCCAGCAGCAGGACCTTGAACTCCTCCTCCTCACATAGGTCTGAAGAGGCAGGGGAGCCAGTGTGAGGGAGGGGACAGGGAAGGAGCCTGTGGCCCGAGAGGGTGCTCTAGATCTGAAGACCTGCCACCCCAGCCCACTGAAAGCTCCCCAGCATTATCCCAGCATCTTTTAAGGCATGCAGGGAGGGCAGGAAACAATAGCAGCCTTACTTATCGGTTACAACTCAATCCTTAGAGGAATATAGGAATGGGAAACCCAGGTTCCATGCATAGTTACAACTCCTAAGTTTCCCAGTTATGACCGAGGGACTCCCACACCTTTGACTACTTCCAAGAGAAGTCATCAACTCTCCGATGATAAGAGAAGTATCAAAAAAAACAAGTAGGTACCCCAGCAAGAAATAATGTGGCGATGCTGAGAAATCCATAACCCCCACCCACTCAACCTACCTAATTCCTTCATTCATCTATCTACCTACTTACTAACCCAGTCTTCCATCCATAGATTTACACTCTACCCATCCATCCATCCATCCATCCATGCATGCATGCGCGCATCCAGCCAGCCAGCCAGCCAGTCAGCCAGCCACCCATCATCACATCTACCCATCAACCCACCCCTCCAGTCATCCACTTATCCATCCATTTATTCATCTACTTATCTACTCATTTATTCATCATCTATACATTTATCTATCCACCCATCTGTCCATTTACTAATTTACCATCCATTAATTTATTCATTCATTTATTCATCTATCAATCCACACATGAATCCATCAATCCACCCAACCATATATTCATCCATTTATCCCTTCACCAATCAAAAAATTGATGACACACCAGGTCTTATGCTGGACTTACCTATTGGCATCTCATCCATGGATGTCCTAGCACTGAGACTGGCCCCATGGGACACCAACAGCTCTGCCATCTGCATCTGAAATGTAGGAAGAAGCCCATGTTTCCCCTGCCCAGGGCTCAGAAAGTCTAGGAAGTGGAGAAAGTGGCCAAGGCTTCTTACGAAGTGACCCAAAGAATTGTGGGGCAAAGCTCACTCCCAGGGAAGGCCCTGCACCCTGGAGCTAAGGTGGGAATCCTGGCAGATGGAATGCCCACAGGGCTTTGCAGTTCCTCCAAGAACGCTTAGGCCAAGTGGCAGATAAAGGAGTCAGCTGTGACTCTAGTGCTGTCAGGTGTCAAAGGAGGACTTGGGTAGGCTGTAATCAGAGTTTTGTATCTGGGAAAGAAATCAAGAAACCACTCAATGCAGAAACATTGGGAGTTTCTAGTTTTGCAAGCTTGATTATGATCCTGTTAGGACATAACTTGTCAAGCGTTTTCGCAAACTCTTTAGGCCTTTTTATATCCCACATCCTAACTACAGTCAACACCTTAAGTGGGTCTTGTGCTTTTTTTTTGAACCAACTGGCAGCCCAAAGGACTTGGTGACAGCAAGTTGACCCCGTAATGGCCAGCCCCACAGCCCTGTGGGTGGGCACTACCTGTCCCCAGAAGGCAGCTGCATGCAGGGGTTCCCAACCATCCCAGTCCTTCACATCCACGCGCACTCCGTGGTCCAGGAGGAGCTCGGCTGCCCGCAGGTATCCATTGGCTCCAGCTATGTGCAGCTGGAGGAAAGAGAAGAGGTGAGCATTCTCTAGCGGGGGCTGGCCCCACTTTTGAAGGTCAGGTATCCCTCTCCCCCACCCAAGTCCCAGAGCATTCTTGGGGCCAGCAGAACAGAACAGTATGAGGTGGAAATACCAGCTACATTCCAGAGGCTCTTTAAGCCTGAAATATGGACCTAGGAGGGAAACAAAAAGGTGAGCTCTTCTCTCCTGTGGTTGGTCTTGGAGCCCATGTGGTTAAGGCAACAGCATTTACTGAACCCCTACTATGTGCTGAGACCTGCAGGAAGGTGTCTCAGAGGTCCAATATAGTGGTTTTAAAATATGTCTACAAATTATTTGATACTCCTCCCTTTAAAAGAAGGAGCCTAATTATTCTCCCCTTGAATGTGGCCCAGATCGAGGGACTCACTTCTAACAAACAAGATATTGTGGAAGTGGTGGTGTATGATTTGAGGCTAGGTCATAAAAGGCATTGCTGCTCCTGCCTTATACTCTCTTGGATCACTCATTCTAGGGGAAGACAGTCACCATGTGGTGAGGACACTCAAGTAACTTAAGGAAAGGTCCTAAGGAGGCAAGAAACTGAGGCCTCCTGCCAAATGCCATGCTAACTTGCCAGCCACGTAAGTGAGCCATCTTGGAAATAGTTCCTCTTAGCCCTAGTCAAACCTTCAGATGACTACATCCTTGGCCAATATCATGACTGCAGCCTCATGAGAGACTCCAAGCCAGAACTATCCAGCTAATCTGTTCCCAATTCTGCGACCCACAGAATTATATGGTAATTAATTGTTTATTGTTGTTTTAAGATGTGGAGTCTAGTTTGTTATGCAGCAATAGATAACTAATACACTCAATAAGGGAAAGGCCCACGTTGAGGTCCCCACTCTTCTATCTGGCACCATTCAAGGCTTCCAGTAATGGCCGTCACCTCAGCTGTCCTACTTGTTCAATGGAGATGATAAAAGCATCTATAATGAGTTGGAATTGACTCGATGGCACAAGACAACAACAACAACATCTCCCAGAAAATACACAAAGTTCTTAGCACATGGTGAGCACTCAGTAAGGGATGCACCTTCTTACAGAGGGCCCTACATGATGACAAGGTGTACCAGGGGAATGAATGAAGGAGGGAGAAGGAGGTGAGGCAAAGAGAAACCAACTGCCCAAGCAAGTAGGAGATAGAGGGGAGAGCCCAGGGAGGCCAGCGGATCTACTGGCTGGGAGGTGAAGAAACCAGAGGACCCAAGGGGGGCTGAGGCCTGGGGCAGCAGAGCCAGTGGGACAGAGAAGGCATGGCCTCAGGAAGTGACACTTCAGAGCATGGCCTGATGGTCACATGCTATGCTAGGTTATGGCTGCTAGGCTGTGAGGCTCTGGCAAAGAGGTTTTCCCTTCTTTTCTCTCGCTCTCTGTCTTTTTTTTTTCTCTCAGACTAAATCCAGAGTGTGATTTGGTACAGGCACACATAACTAATATAATTATCTGATTCATAAATGTCTGATGTTTGCCAGTTTTGGAGAATGACACCTGGTCAGCCGGCAAGACATTAAACTGTTGGGGCCTCAGTACTTAAGCTGGGAATAAAAAGAGATGACTGAGATATTGATAATAATAATGATGACAATTGCTAACATCTATTGAAAGTTTATGGACTCTGGGCTAAGCACCTACATGCAGAATCTCATTTAATCCTCACAAAACCCTGAGAGGAAGGGATTATTATCTTCACCTTCCTGGGAAGACCTGAGACCTGGCACGTGTCCAGCCTGTGTGGGTGGGGCCGCCTGAGGCCAGCCTCAGCCCAGGACATCAAGGCCCTGTGTCTAGAGGGCCCAGCCACAGACCCAGTGGGGTTCCAGCCAGGGTGGGTGATGTCCTGGTATAGCCTGGCCTGAACTTCAGACCACAGCATTCAGTCTCACCATCTGTCCCCAGTCTTGAGTGCTGGGCTGAGCAGGTGATCTGAGCCGGGACCCAGTTAACAGAAATGTGCATGAGGCAGAGGGTGGGGCTCAGGATGGGAGAAGCCCAGTTATCACACCTGGGCCACCAGGTCAGCCCTAAGGGACAGTGAGGGGAACTTGGTGGGCCCTTCCTGGTGAGCTCAACCCTGAGCCCTGAGTTCCTATGACCAGGATGGAGCCCAAGCCTGGTGCAGCATTCAGCCATCAGGGGGCTACTTCCCCTGCCACACTCTTGTTCTGGTTTAGAAGCTGCAGTGCTGACCCTCTCCAATACTGGGTTGCATTGTGCTATGAGAACTAATGAGGAGAGGTCAGAGAGGGTTTCCCTGGGTCACTGACATGAGCTGAAAGAGTGAGATGGAGTTAACCAGGCAGCTTTGACATTGAAGAAGGCTCTATTACTCTAGTAAAGCATGTAGTATAGAGAGAAAGAGAGAGAAAGAAAAAAAAAAAAAGAAATTTAACCAGATGCCATCAAGTTGAATTCAACTCATTGTGACCCATGTGTTTCAGAGTAGAACTATGCTTCACGGGGTTTTCAAGGTTATGACCTTTTGGAAGCAGATCACCAGGCCTGTCTTCCAAGGAGCCTCTGGGTGGGTTCAAACCAACAACTTTTCAGTTAGGTGAGAGCTTAACTGCCTCCCAGGGACTCCTTATGGCACAGAGGAGGTTTGTTGACAGGAAGGGAGAGTGGAAGGAAGAAAGGAAGGAAGGAGGGAGAAAGAGGGGGAGGAAAGGAAGGGAGGAAGGAAGGGCCAGCTGATGAATGGATAGACCCATGGATGGATGGACGGATGGATCGATGAACCAGTGGATGAATGAACTGATGGACAGACTGATGGATGGATGGATGGATGGATGAATGGATAAACAGATGGATGGATGACTGGGGGTGTCTGGACTCTGAAGTCAGGCAACCCAGAGGAGAGGCTGTTGCAGAAATAGAGAGGCAAGGCAGTTATGGCATGAGAAGAAAGGAGACACTGAAGCAGGGGAATGGATAGTGCAGAGCAAAGTGGCATGGGTGAGTAGCTGAATGGTAGTGCTGATCCTTGATGGGGGGATGACTGGAGGAGGGGGGAAGTAATGAACTCAGAACTGGACACCTGGAAGCTGAGGAGAAGGAGAAATTTGGAGAAGGAACAGGTGGATAGAAGAGTCAAGCCTCCCACCCAGGGTTCCTGAGACTCCAGCCCCAGCTAAGAGTAGCCAGGTTCTCAAAGAGACTGATCCCTGCTCTGCTAACCCTCCATATTCCAGGGGCCACCCCAGCCCCAAAGGGGATCTGGAGGAGATCCTAGGCCACAGACAGGCCCCAACTGTATAGGTCTGGTCCCCACTCAGTGCTGGCCCACCTCAGCCCCGGCTGGCCTTGGTTCTGGTACTGGCGCCCCCAGTCCAAACCAGCCTGGCCCATCTCCTCACCAGTGTGGCACCCTGGGCATCTATCCAGTCAAGGTCCTGGCCAGCTGCAATCATACAATGGATGTCCCCAATCATCTGCTGCTCGGGTGCTGCCCGCATCTCATTGATTTTCTCTTGGGTGATGCCTGCAATGGAGAAAGGGGGTTTTATTCAGCATCCCCAGGCCTAGGGGGGAGGGCAGGGCAGGGCAGATGAGGGGGCATGACTCCTGTTCCCCAGGGTGTGCCAGTCAAAGGGGCAGAAAGACATACCCATAGGTCACTGTGTTCCCCAGGCCCAATGAACACAAATGCCACGTGCTGGCCCACAGAATGAGGGCCATTCTGCCTGTCACCCAGTAGGCACTACCTTCATATTGGTTACTTCGGGCATGCTGTTCTACCTGGAAATCGCTGCCACCCACCTACCCACCTCCAGCTGCTCAAATGGCCAGCTCTGTCTCATCCTCTAGGTTCCAGCTGGGATCACCTCCCAGAGGGCCTCCCCTGACCAGCCTATCTCACCAGGCCCTCTTAGTTCCCTTCATGCTTTGCTAACTTTAATATTTCCTGTTGACTTATTTTTTGCCTGACTCCCCACTAGAGTATAAACTCCATGAGGCTTGAAAACGGTGTGTTCACAGCACCAGGAACAATGTTCGATACATTTTTGTTGCAAGAGTGACCGAATTAATGAATATATTACGTTTGAATGAAGAGTTAAGTAAATTGAGGTAGTGGGACCCAGAAAGACATTTCATAGCCCTGAATGTCTGGCTAATAAGTTTAAGTGTTACTGGCAGCTACTGATGGTATTTAAGGAGAGGGGTTATATGCTCTAAAAAGGAGTCTATTAGATCAAGGGTTCTTGGATAGAATTCAGAAGAGGTCTATAAACTTGAACGGAGAAAAAAAAATCACATTTATTTTCACTAACCTTTAAATGAAATTTACCATTCCCTTCCATTATGAATGTAGGCAAAACCCACATTAGCAGTGCTTGATTCTGTCACCAACAGAAACCACAGATATTTATGTATCATGTGATCTTATTATTTAATGAACTAATAAAGTTCTACAGCATACATTTTAAAAATTATTTTGGCAGTTATATTTTAATATAATTGGCTTCCTTTATAATTCTATGATTTTATAACTGCATTTAAAAACATCATTCTGAGAAGCGGTCCATAGATTCGCCAGTCTGGCACAAAAATTGTTAAGAAGCTCTGTAGGAGAGGGAAAGGAAACGCCTGGGTGGCAGGAACAGGGAGACGACCTCGATGGTGACTGCAGGGATCTAGGGAGAAGCACCAAGGGCAGGGTCGGCCAGTACCTTAGGGATGCAGCCCGGGGACGAATTTGAGCCATATCTCTGAGAAGGCCTCCAGAAGCGAGTATGGGGTGGATGGGGGACAGGCAGGCCTCTCCGATTACCACGTTTGTTTCCTCTCTGAATCTCATTTGGGAGCCGTGAACAGCCCACATCTTGTTTATCTGGGCCCTGGCAGCCAGTGTGGTGCCTGGCACAGAGCAGGCACTGCAAATGTTCTTGATTTTTTATTATTTTCCTAAATGAGAATATATCTTTATTGTGAATGTTTACTGAATTGGATTGTTACAGCTGATGAAGAGGAGACAAGGCCAGCTGAGGCCGCCTGTGTGTGTGGGTGACAGGGATGAGAACAATACCTCCTTCTGCACAGCACAGGTTTGCCAGTCCTCATCTCGGTAATCACGCAGATAACATTAGTAATGAGAACCTATCCTGTTTATTGAGGGCTTAGCATGGGGCAGGCAGGCACCAGCAGGTAGCCAGCTAGTTTGTTCACTAGCATTCATGTAAGCGACGCTCACTGCAGCACTGCATGCCCCTCTACAGCATGCTGGCCCACCCTTACCCTGGTAGGCCATGCAGGTCTCGATGACATCCAGGGTGGGCTCATCCTCGCAGAGGTCATACGGCATGTTCCCGTCAGAGTTGACGGCGAGCAAGTCGGCCCCACTGCAGAGAAAGGGACAAGGTGAAGGCCAGTAGGTGTGGCTAGGGTTGGTCTGGGCTGCCTCTGCCCTCTGGCCTCTTACCCCTGAACTCAACATGCACACCAGCACCCACAACCCCAGCAAGGTGATGTTGGGCTCTGCCCACCATACAGCCAGAGTGAGCACAGCAGCCTCAGCATCCAGGGGTGGGGGGCAGTCCAAGGTCCCGGGAGAGCTACCCTTGCAGACCTCCCCCAGCTTCCTGCTCTGTTGAATCAGCAGATAGGCCCTTGAGGACAGATGTCAACGTCCTCCCTGGTGACAATAATAAAAATATTAACAGTAGCACCGTTCATCAGGCACCTGCTTAGAGCCAGCCATGGTTTAATTCCTTTACCCACATCATCTTATTTAATCCTCATAACAGTCCTCTGGGGTTGGTTCTATTAGCCTCATCTCACTCGAGGGAAAACAGAGGCTCAGAGAGGTTTGGTAACTTGGCCAGGGTCACACAGCTAGGATGTGGTAGGTCAAAACTCAAACTAGTCTCTCACGTCCCAGCTCTTTTCACTTCTCCATGTTCTATGTCAATCTTTGCCTACATGCAAAAACATCCTTGACCTCCTCAACCAAGTCCCTACCCAAAAGGCTAGCCAGGGCAGGGGCAGGACACAGCCTTGGGGCTCCCTGGTAGAATGTGCCCTTTGGGCCAGTGGTTCACAAGCATGGTTCCCTCCTCATGGTCCCTGCACCAGAATTACCTGGGGATCACTGAAATAGACTGTAACTTTTTGGACTCACTCCAAACCTCCTGAAACAGTCTCTGGGGGTGGGACTTGGGACTATGTGTTTTAAACCCATGCCCCAGGTGATTCTGGTACAGATCAGTGTGGGGGACCCACTGTGCCAGGTTGGCCCCAACCCCTTTGTTCTCTGGACACCATCATTGATCTGGCTGTGGCCACTTGATGCTCCCGGCCAACTTAGTTGTGCTCAGGCTGTCATCAGAGGTGTAGGTATGGGCCATCATCCAGACTTTTGGCCACTGTGACCTCCCTGAGCTCCTTTGTGACCTTGGGCAAGCTAACCAACCTCTCTGAGCTGGGGCAGCAGTACTGCCATCTCCATCTCCCCTGGAAGCCACCCGAAGGGCTCCTGCTGCTCCACTGAAACCCTTGCAAAAGCTCACCTCCTCTTGGCCACTCTGACTCTCTGCACTCAGACCCTCCCCTCGGCCTCCAGGAACCCTGGCCCACTGGTCCTCCTCTGCAAGGGTTCTGGTTCTGACATCACCTCATCTCCTGCCTGTCTCCCCAGGGGACCAGGACTTCTGCATCTCTGTGTGCCCTGTGCTCGAGCACAGGGTCTGGTCAGCACACGGAACCCCAGTTATTAGCTGAAGTCAATAAACATGCTTGAAATTGAATGTTGCCTTTTCTGTGTATTTATAGAATACGAGCAGACTAGAAAGAATTTCAGGGCAGGAAAAGACACTCAGAGTGGCTCAGAGGTAAACAGCTTTATCCCTGGAAAAGATACACTGCATGGTGCCACAAAGCAGGTTCTGGCCCCCTTGAAAAGCATGTGGACAGGATTTGGGGGGCAGGGCCAAGGACGTATGCTTGCTGGTTTTTTGTTTCTGTTTTTTGATAGTGAAAGAAATAAAAATGACAGTAACATAAAGAAAGTAGAGGAGACAGAGAAAAAGAGACAATAAAAGAGAATGAAGAGGGAGAAAGAATAAAGAGAGACACAGACAACGAGTGGAAAAGACAGAGAAGGACAGAGGGTCAAGGAGAGACAGAGATCAAGACAAAGAGCTAGAGAAAGACAAACGGAGGTGGAGGAAAAAAGGGGGAATTGGAGGAGAAGGAGGAGGAGAAGGTACAAACAGAGAGAGAATGAGACAGAGCTGAAGAGAAGATGTGGAGAGAACAAGAACAAGAGACAGGCACAAAGAAAGAGAAAGAGGGTGTCATGGATTGAATTGTGTCCCCCCAAAATATCTGTCAGCTTGGCGAGGTCATGATTCCCAGGATTGTATGATTGTCTATCATTTTATCATCTGATGTGATTTCCGTACGTGTTGGAAATCCTATCACTATGATGAAATAAGATGGATTAGCGGCAGTTATATTGAGGAGGTCTACAAGATTAGGTAGTGTCTTAAGCCAGTCTCTTTTGAGATATAAAAGACAGAAGCGAGTAGAGAGATATGGGGACCTCATACCACCAAGAAAGAAGCACTGGGAGCAGAGCACATCCTTTGGACCCAGGTTTCCTGCAAGGAGAAGCTCCTAGTCCAGGGGAAGATTGATGAGAAGGACCTTCCTCCAGAGCCGACAGAGAGAGAAAGCCTTTCCCTGGAGCTGATGCCCTAAATTTGGACTTCTAGCCTTCTAGACTGTGAGAAAATAAATTTCTCTTTGTTAAAGCCATCCACTTGTATTTCTGTTATAGCAGCACTAGGTGACTAAGACAGAGGGACAAAGAGAGAAAGACAGACAGGCTGACAGCAGGCAGAGGGGTAGAGGGAGAAGAGAGAGCCCTGCCACTCGGGTGGAGGGAGGCTGTTCCTGGGACCTGAGTGGGGAAAGAGGGGCACGTACTACTGAACGAGGATCTTCACCAGGTTGATGTGGCCGCAGGTGGCCGCGGCATGCAGGGGTGTCCACAGCTCATTGTCCTTGGCATTCACATTTGCACCATGGGAAAGGAGCAGCTTAACGATTTCCTCAAAGTTGTCGATGCAGCACTGTGAGGGGGACACAGGCAGAGTCAGCTCAGGGCAGGGTCCCGGGGCCCTGGAGGGGACACGTCATGTTCTCTGGGAGAGGCCCTGAGGAGCTAGACTGCCTGAGTTTGCATCCATCTCCACCACTTACATGCTGTGTGACCTGGGGCAAGTCACTTAACCTCTCTGAGCCTTTGTTGTCTCATGAGTAAAAGTGAAGTAAATAATATATAACATAAAAATACAAAGGTAAACAACACTCTGCCAGCTATAAAGCAAGTGTTGGTTGGATAGGGCAAAATTTTGAATGAGGTTTTAAAACTTTTTTTTTTAATTCCAGAAGCATTTCTTCAAACAAACCTGTATGAAGAATTAACATATATAACCAATAAATTCAAGCAGGACTGCCTGGGTTGAAGCAGATGTATATGGGGTGGTAGTGGGTCCCCCTTTCCAGAATCAGCCTCCAAGGTATGGCCCCAGATCACAATTTGAGCTCAGTTCTTGGGGAAGCCCCAAGCAATCAACATTCCCCCACGCAACACACACACACACACACACACACACACACACAACACACACACAGAGCCCAGCTCCACATGAGGGCTCCAGGGGGCACCTGATACAGTCCCTATGAGGAGATGGGCTTGTTTGTGTTCCTGCCATGTGGAGTACTGACCACGTGCGGAGTACTGACCACGTGCGGAGTACTGACCACGTGCGGAGTACTGACCACGTGCGGAGTACTGACCACGAGTGGGTCAGCCCTGGTGAGGGGGGAGGGTCAGGAGCCTGTAGCCCCACTCAGAGAGAACACAGGGCTCTGAGAGGCAATAGAGCCCCCCAAACTCCAGGGACTCGAAGTGAAAGATCCCAGGGGACAGAGGGGCCTCAAGCTATGAGGAGAGTGAGACAAGGACAGAAGAGGAAGAAGGAGGGGAGCCCCCGTACAGACAGCAGGATAGAGGTGCTTCCCTACAGGTGCCCTTGGGAGAAGTAGATGGGGCACAGCTGGGACCCTGAGCTCCACTGCTCATCCAAGGGCTGGGGGGTTGTACACAGGACAGGGACACAATCAGACTTGCTTCTTTTTAAAAATCCCTCCTCTGGTTGCATGTGGAGAACAGGTTGTACGCGTATGGGTATGCGTGTGTGTGTGTGTGTGTGTGTGTGTGTGTGTGAGTGTACTTTTTCTGAAGGAAGCAATGAGGGCCTATGCTGAAATAACTCAGTGAAGAGATAATGGTGGCCTGGCCTACAGAAGTGAGCATAGCGACAGAAGTGACTGGATGCAGCAGAAGGAGTTGGAGAGACCTATGTGAGTCCGCCGCCCAAGGTGGCTGTGGGATGGGGCGGCAACCCAAGCCACATCGATGCCCACCCCTACCCCCAACGCAGCCAGGGCTTGGCGCCAGAAGGGCATGAAGGAAGGGAGCAGCTGTTGGCACAGATGGTGCCAGAGATCCAGGTTCTCTTTCTGTGCCAGCCGGTCTGGGCTGGCTAGGTCTAAGGCCATCTCTTTGGCAGGCATCGGAAGACGTGTCCGAAAAGGTGACCCTGTGAGGACCCGTGAGGCCCTGCGGCTGCTGCCTCGGGTGGTCCGGAGGCCCATGTAGTGGCATGGCACAGCCGGCAGGGGGCGCCAAAGGCGCAGGAGTGAGGCAGCGGTGAAACGCGGAGGGTCCCGAGGCAGTCACTGGAAGATCGGTCTGTGGAGCCCCTGCCCACAACAGGAGGGGCGGCCGAGCTCCCGCGGTCGGAGGACAGGCGGGGTGGAGAGCGAACCCTTAGGGGCTGCAGAAAACAAGGGGACGGGGAGGGCTTGAGGTTAAGCAAAGTGCTGGAGTGGGGGCTGAGTGCAGGGATGCGCACGCAGCGGGAAGGGGAGCGGGGGCGGGCAGGCCTCCACCCATGCATTCCCCAAGGTGGGAAATGGCACCTAGCAGTTGGGGATGACTCTTCCTGCTCCCCTCACTTCCCACCTCCCATCCTCCCCCAGGGGAGTAGCTTAGATTCCATCTCTTAAATCATCCCCAATGTCCTCCACAACCCATCCCCACTGCCCTGGTGGAGACTTTGTCACCTACCCCTGCACTGAGCTCCCTGCCACCCCAGGCTCCCCTTCCAAACACCGTCCACCAGAGACAGCGTCCTCATTCGTCTAACCATGCTGCTCTCAGGCTACAAGCCTCTGAAGGCTCCCTGTTGCCAAGAAGAAAATACACACTTCTTGGCCGGGCAGGAGAAGCTCTTCTTAATGTGCCCCATCTCCTCTGTTGCTGGGAAGCAGTAGTAACAGTAACAATGATACCGATAACAACAACCGCAGCAACAGCAGTAATAATAACACGCCACATGATCAATAATAATAGCTAATGCTTTCTGAGCACCTTGCTAAGCTTTGGCCTTACACTGAGGGTCCTATCGCCCCCATTTTATAGATGGGGAAACTGGCTCCAAGAGGCCCATATGTACAAGGTCACATATAATAAGCTCCAGAGATGGATTCAAACTCAGGCAGTCTGACTCCAAAGGCTGCTCTCAATCTTCCCCAGTCCAGCCTCCCATCAGTTCCCCTGGGATCCCTGCACTCTAACTACCTCACTGAACCCTCCAGACTCTGAACTTGAAATGCTGAGCCCTTTTCTCATGCCTCTGTATATGCCATTCTCTCTGTCTTGAATACTCTTCCTCACCCTTTTCTACCTGGCAAACTCCTACTCATCCTTCAAGACCCAGCTCCGATGCCCCTTTCTCTTGGAAGCTTTTCTTAGTGCCCCTTTGAGTCAGGTTCATTGAGCTCCCACAATGCCCTCTGCTTACCTCCATCTGAGGGTTGACCACACTGCATCACCTCTGTTGCTATTCATGGGTCTGTGGCCATACTACACTATGAACTCTGAGAGCTGGGACCCTGCCTAGCTCACTTCTGGGGCCCTGTCCCCAGCAGAAGACCTGGCATGGAACAAGTGTACAGAAAGTATTTGTTGAAGGGATGAGTTGGAGCCCACAGGCCAGAGGGGCAAAGTGGGGAGGATGTGTCCCTGAGACAGCCCCCAAAATGCGGCCAGAGCTGAGTAGGGGATGGAGGGGTCTTTGGCTCACCAGCCATGAGTTCCATACAGCAACACCTCAAGCCTGATGAGCTCCCACCTCCCTGACGCTGACCGTAAGCCCCTAGAGACCCAGAAACCCACAGGAGGAACAGGTCCTGGGGATCTGAGCTGACCAACAAGGGAGAAGTGGGGTGTAACATGGAGACAACAGGAACCCCGAGCTGAAGAGAGGGCACAGCCTAGAGGTCACCGTGGCAGGGACAGCAACTCAAGGGGCGGACCTGGGCTCAGAGCACTGCGAGCCACTATGTCCACTGAGCAGCTAAAACACAGGCTCTGCAATCAGACCATCTTATTTCCAATTCCAGCTCCGCTACTGTCTGACCTTGAGCAAAGAGACTTCAGCTCCTGAAACTGCCCTGTGTGATCTGGGAACTACTATTTATTTAAACTCATTAAAATTAAGTAAAATTAAAAATTCATTTCCTCAGTCACACTAGCCGCATGCCAAGTGATCAATAGCCACTGGTGACTAGTGGCTACTGTACTGGCCAGTACAGATATAGAACATTTCCATCATCACAGAAAGTTCTGTTGGACAGCACTGTCCCTGAGCCTCAGTGTCCTTATCTGTAAAATGGGGATAATAATATTTCAAAGGGTTGTTCTGAGGATCAAATGAAATATATAAGTGAAATGCTCTGCAGAGGAGTGGACACAAGACAAATTTAAAATAATAATAATATTTGTACAGTGCCAAGTGATGCTTGAAGGGTTTTTACATGTCTAAATTCATTTAATCCTCACAACAACCCAGTGTGATAGGTACTTGCTATTCCTCTTTTACAAATGAGGAAACTGAGGCACAGAGAGGTTAAGTAACTTGCCCAAGGTCACACAGCCAGTGAGTGGCACTGCCAGGCCTCAAGACTGACTCTATACCCTAACTACCTCACTCTACAGCCCCCAGTGGGAAGCAGTCCATATAATTTATCACATGTTCATGGCTGGTGGGCACCGCCTGACCTTGGGAATTAACATTTGGGGCTCCATTCCAGGGAAAGCTAAAGCATTGGCCTGGGGGAGTCTCAGGCACCCTGGAGTTCATGGAGCTGGGAGCTGAGGAGAGTTTCCACGGGCAGAGTCCAGTGGGGATACTGAGGCAATACCCTAGCGTGGGTGTCTGAGGCCCTGTGGGACAGGAGAAGCCAAGAGGGCATACAGGGAACCACTGGGCCACGTGGCTGAGGGTGAGGACTTGCCCCTGGGGCTTACGGGTTAGACTCCATCCATGCCTCCCCTCCCCTGTGTGGGGTGGAGGGGCCCCTACCAGCCAGGCTGCACTCAAGTCCATCTGCTCAGAAACTGCCCAAGGCACAGGGAGGCTTGGGTGTACTCATTCATTAATTCAGCATGCACATACTGAGCACCTACTGTATGCCAGCATGGGGAAAGGTGCTGGGATACACCGGTGAGGAAGAAAGACATGGGCTCTGCTGTCGAGTGGCTGAGAGTCTGGGTTGGGGGAGATCAACAGCAGCCCATCACATGAACGGCTAAAATGACAAGTTATAGACGAAGGGCTGCTTGGAAGAAAAGTGGGTGTGTATGAAGCACAGTGCTCAGTCTCTTACTCTGGACTGGGGCTAACAGGTGAACAGGAAACAGCACGGACACAAGGGCTGTGTGAAGTGTGGTCAGGAGGAGCCCAGTGTGTGCAAGGAATTGAAAAGCTGGGTAGCTGGAGCCCGGACAGCCAGGAAGCATGGTACGAGATGAGGCTGGTGGGCTCGGCAGAGGCCAAGCCACAGGGTCCTTATAGGAAGGACCCAATGTAATGGGAAGTTACAGGAGGGCTTTGAGCGACGTGAGCAAATTATTCGTTTGAGCATTCCTGTGGCCACTAGGTGGGGAAAGAAGTGTGGCTGGGCTGGGCTGGATGTTGGGGACTATTAGAGGCTGTTGCCGGGTCCACGTGAGAGATGCCAGCCAGAGCAGCCCTCCCAGGGCACGGAGGGCCAGACCCATAGTGCTGCCCTGGAAAACGATATGTGTTGTGACAGCACATAGTTCACAGCCATATAACCTTGCACAGGTCACATAACCTCCTACCAGTCAGCTTTTGCTGTGGGAGTGGACTGGCTGCCGTGTTGGTGTGAATGAGCTTTGTAAACTGTCAAGCTCCAGACAAACTTGCTTTACGGTTCCAGCCCTTTGCTGGGCAGTGAACAAAGGCTCCCTGTCCTCAGGGCCTGTGTGTGTGTGTGTGTGTGTGTGTGTGTGTGTGCGCGCGCACGCGCGTGCACACATATGCGTGCACAGGGGGTCTGTGGGAGTGTCTGTAACAGACACACACATCTCCATAGCAGACAAGAGCCTCTCAGATGGGGCAGTAGCAGCTTGCCTTCCCTCCCTCCTCCCTGGGGCATCCAGGCAGGAGAATGAAGGGTAAAAGCGTGTCCAGGTGGGGACCCCAGAGAGTCTGACCTTACCTGGTGCAGGGCTGTGAGTCCATCCTCATTGCACAAATCAGGGCTGACCTTATTCTTCAGGAAGTAGCGTACTGCAACAGGAGGGTACAGGAGTAAGCTTCCTGCACACACTGGCTGTGCAGGTTGGTAGGGGGGACCAGGTAAGACCCATTCTCCCCCAGCTCTCAACATGAACTGCCTTGTTTACTCCTTATATCAGCCCTGTGAGGTAAGAATTAACACCCTCCCCCATATGATGGATGAGGAAACTGAGGCACAGAACATAGGTCTTTGGTCCAGGATTTCCAAGAGGTGGGTGGCATGGCCTGTCTTGTTGGGGAATAATAACAACAACAGCTAATGATTACTGAGTGCTTCCTGTGTGCCAGGTACTGAGCTAAGTGATTTATCTTTGCTGTCCGGAGAGGAGAGCCTATTCTAGCTGTTGAAAGCATGCACTCTGGAGTCAGATGGCCTAGGTTCAAATCTGGGCCTCATTCTTATTGACTGTGTGACCTCAGTCAAGACACTTCCCCTCTCTGTGCCTTTGTTTTCTCATCTGTAAAATGGGGATGATGCTAATGTTACCTTGAGGGGTAAGTTGAGGAATAATTGAAGTGAGCCACGTCATGGGCTTAGCACAGTGTCTGGCACACGGTTTGAGTATGATTTCCCACAATGGCAGCTGTTCTTGTTACTTTTATTAACACCTCAGGCCCCTACACCAGGGGATGACCCACCCATGAGTGTCAAATGCTCCTTCTTCAGCCATCCCAAGCCTTGTGGGGGGGTGGGGGAGGTGAGAAGCAGGCAGAGACTTTTTCCACCCCATCCCTAGATCTTTGTCTAGTTGTATGTGGGGGAGGAGGCTTGGGGGGGGGGCAGGGAGCTAGGGGTGAGGACCGGGGTCAAACTGAGCTCCAACCACTGCCTCTAATCTCTCCTGCTTAGGAGGACATCCCCCTTACCCTTGTGACCCTTCCTCCTTCTCTCCCCCTCTGCTCCCCACTTAGGCCCTCGTTCTCATCCTGAACCCAAATGCAAAGAGAAGGAAGGAATGCTAGCCCCCCCAGCCCTGTGGCCCCGTTCCCAGTTTTGTCACCTGGGACCCCTGTCTTGGCCCCTGCACTTTAGTGAGACCCTCTGTGGCCGGCCTCGGCTGCACCTCCCCTCATGAAGCAAGAGGCCCATGGGGCCAACAAAGGGAGTCTACCAGAGCCATGGTTCCCCTTCTAGACCATGCCCCTACCTTCCTGGTCCAAACAGCCCCAGCCTGTGTGCAGGGCCTATGCAGGCCTCTTCCCCATCCAGCTTCCAACAGCAGACCATGCAGTTATGGCACACCCCTGGGCTGGGGAGTGACCACTAGGTGCCTGTTGTTTGTGAGGCCAGTGGACAAAGCTTGGATACACAAGCCAGCTTGTGTGAGGCCCTTGTGGTGTAAGCCAAAGCCAGGGATGGAGCCCCGGGTTCTGCAAATGGGAGGAGCAGACCCCCTGAGCCACCCCTCACCCCACCAAGTCTGGCTCCTCCCAAAACATGAACCAAAGTGCACACCCCTGATGCCCACTATGGACCTCTCTCCACACTACAGTGTGTGATTCAGGCAGTGAGGCAGGCTGAAGTAGTTCCCTGTCGATTTCCCTCTACTGAGGGGGAACAAACTAAGAGTGAGCTGGGAAGGGCAGGGAGAAGGCCATCCACCCAGTCAGCAACCCCAGGGGTGCTGGTGGAAAGGACGCTGGTGAGGGGGGTGGATCCATGAGGTCTCAGGAGCAGTGGGGGTGGGGGTGACCCCTTAGCTCCACCCTCACTAGGCCCAGCTCCCAGCTGGAAGAGAGGTTGAGGCCTCCACTCAGCCTCCCAGCAAGACTGGGGCCTCCAACAGACTTGTCCCAGGTGCACTGCCTCCCTGGGGGTTAGGTGTGGGAGGACTTTGTCTGACACAGGCTCAGAACCTTTGGCGCTGCCCCACCTTAAGCGGCCACTAGCCACATGTGGCTATTTAAATTTCAATTAATACAAACTAAAACTTCAGTTGCTCAGGTGCTGTGGCCACATTTCAAGTACTCAATAGTCACATACGCCTACTTGTGTTGAAAATGAAGAAATAAAACATTTCCACCTTCACAGGAAGTTCTATTGGACAGCGCTGCTTTGGGACAATATAAATGGAAATTAGTCTCATCACAAACTGCTTAAAACCCTTCCTTGGCTCCCCATTGCCCTACGAATAAAGTCCAAACCCCGCACTATGACATTCAAAGTCTTGCATGATGTGATCCCTGCCTGCAGGCCACCATCTTGACAATGCCAAGGGCTGCCATTCACCTGGTGGTCTGTGAAGTGAGCATCCCCAGGAGCTATGCAGTGTGCACCTTGCTCAGCAGCACACAGTGATTCTGCTGCCTACCTCTCCAGCCTCGCTTGCTGAACTCCAACACCTTCCACAATGGTCTCTGTTCAGCTTCCAGAGCCACCAAACATCCTCTGGCCTCTCAGCTTCTTGTTGTTGTTGTTAAGAATATATACAGCTGAACATTCACCAATCCAGCAATTTCTACATTGTTTACATTGATTACATTCTTCAAGTTGTGCAACCATTCTCACCCTCCTTTTCCAAATGGTTCCTTCACCATTAACATAAACCATCGCCCCCTATTAGAATTCCTATCTAATCTTCCGGTTGCTGTTGCCAATTTGATCCCATATAGATAGTTCTTAAAAGAGCGCAACGTTCAAGCAAACATTCGTTACTAAATAAACTATTATTTGAAGAAGACTTCAGGGGATATTTTTGGTTTAAGGTTTAAAGATTATCTCAGGGCAATAGTTTGGGGTTCATCCAGCCTCACTGGCTCCAGAAAGCCTGGACTCCATGAGAATTTGAAATTCTGTGCTACATTTCCCCCCTTTTGATCAGGATTCATCTATAGAATCTTCGATCAAAACGTTCAGTAATGGGAGAGGCACCATCTAGCTCTTCTTGTCTCATGGCAAAGGAGGCAGTTGTTCATGGAGGCAGTTAGCCACACATTCCATTTCCTCCTCCTGTTCCTGACTTGCCTTCTTCCTCTGTTTCTCCAGGTGAATAGAGACAAATTGTTACACCTTGGATGGCTGCTTGCAAACTTTTAAGGCTCCAGGTACTAAACAACAAACTAGGAGGTCAAACAGAAGCACTAAACACGATATTATGGCCTCTCAGCTTTTGTAAAACATGTTCCCACTGCCTGGAAGGTTCAGTCATTTATCCATCCACACATCCATTCATCCATCTTCAACATACACGCATACACACACACACCTGCCTCACTCGTCATCCTTTAGGTCTCAGCTCAAGCATCCTTTCCTCAAGGAAGTCTCCCTGACTCCCCAGAATAGGGCATACCCCCTGATAAGTGCATCTCATTTACAGCCTTATCGCAATTATAATTACATAACTATTTGGATAATTATGGGCTTTGGTTCTGCCTGCCCACTGAACACTAAGCCCCAAGAGGGCAGGACATTGACTTCGTACTTACTGCTCTACACCCAAGGCCTGGCACACAATAGGGCCTCAAGAACTCATCTAAGACCTTGATCTAATCATCGTCATGATGGCGTCATTCTAAGGACCATCAAGGCATCATCAAGACCTCTCTGTCTCTGAACAAAGCAGATCAGCCCTCCAATGAGGACCCCTGGATGCTTAAGTCTACAGCATGCAGGGCTGTGCACAGGTCCCTCTTGCAGGGCCATGAATGATCTGGTCGCTGGTCTCAGCCTCAGGGCCATGCAAGGAGATTACGGCAAACCCACTGATCAAGACCCATCCTTTCTGAGGGCCACTGCAGGTGACCTGGGCCTGGCAGGTGGCCTTCAGGACAGTAGAAGCAGCCACTATGCCCCATCTAGGGTGTGCTTCTGGAAGGTTCTACTCACATGTGGTAAGGATTCAAATGTCATAGGAGTGGGTGGTAGACCAGGCTTCCCGGCCAGGAGACACTCTTTGAGAAAGAGACTAAGCACCAGCTTCCACATACAGTTTGTGTGCAGTAATTATTGGGGTGCTCTCCATGCTGCATGGGAGCCCAGGACATGTAATTACCCCAATGCTGGACAGTTATTTCCAGCCTAAGAGGTGGGACAAATCATTCTCATCTCTAAAAAGCCCTTAATACTTATGAGCCAGAATTTCTACTTCCACAGAAAAGGTCTGCCAACCCCTGGCCTTCAAGGTCCTGCATGGTGTGGTCCCGCCTACAGAACTACCACCTTGCACAATTCCACGGGAAACCATTCTCATCACAGTGTATGTGAATGGCATCCCTCGGAATTGTGCAGCGCACAACCTGCTCAGCCATACCCAGCGGCCCTGTCTGCTTATTTTTTCAGGCTCATGTCTTGCTCTCCAAACACCTTCCACAATAGAGGGAGCTGGCTTGGGGGCTAAGTGGTCAGCCGGGACTCAGGGAGCACAAAGCCAGGAGGGGCACACTCTCCCCTCCAGCCAGGAGCACCCACCACCTCTCCTGTTTGCCCGCACCTTCTCCTTGCCCCCAAAGTGCCAACTCCCAGGCTTGATCATTGGCTTGTCAACGTGATCCATCTATTCTTGCACATTTGTTTAGCTGTGGCCTTAGGCAAATGACTTTGTCTCTGTGTGCTCATCTATAAAGTGGGGTGCTAGAATTGAGTCAGATGATGCCTGAGAGCTACTATTATCTTTTTTTTTTTTAATCACTGAGCTACTGCCTTGTGTCCCATCCTGTGCTGGGTGCTTGGGATATTTTAATGAAGCCACCAACATCTTGCATCTCTCAAGAACTCTCGACTAGGTTATAATAGAAACTGTCTCTCCAGGGAGCTCTGAGCATACCTGGTTCAAAGACCATGATGAGGCCACTGCTGATGTCCCCCTACCCTCCAACACAGGCAAGACCCCATGGAGAAGATAAAAAGTGGCTCTGGCCCTCCTCACTCATGTATCCCAGCTCCTGGCACCAACCCCCGACTCCGCCCACATCTCCCTGGCAATATGGCTGGAATCTGGGCCAAGTCAGGCCATCTGCTCCCTCCATCTCCAGCTGCAGCGAGTGAGGCTGAG